CCCCGCCGCCCCGCCCCCATCACTTTTCTAATGTTCCGTCTCCAAGGGACGGACCATTAGAAAAGTGAATTCTCTCCTAGTTAAGCTGAGAATTTTTCCCGGAAAAGCAATTCTGCATAGCTACAACTCGCCGAGGTTTTGCCTATGCGGAATGATTAATTGTAACTAAAAATACCAATGCAATTCTTGACTGGAAGAGATTGCGCCTATCCATGTTTCAAAAGGATACGAAGCCCGTACTTTGTACACTTTGTACCCGTTTTAAGAAGTCGTTTAAGGAGTTTCGGTAATTTTCTCTAAATGATTATGTCATAGTACACTGAACATATTTTACTGCGTCACACTGCTCTTAACTTTAGGTAAATGTTGCCCTGACTTTTCCTAGCCTGTGTTACAATCGCCCACCCCGAAAGAATCAATCTCCCGATTTTTTTCTTTCGGAGATCGAGTGCGGCACAAGGCAACTTTATTCTCCAAATCCGAAATCCGGTCCATTTCCTTCTCATTGTCGTGTTCCAAATAGCACTAAGAGAACGAGACGGAGAGTAGAACAACAGCGACACCGCAACCTTCGTAAACGTGTTAAGGTATCAGTAATAAAAAAACCTCCACCAAAAAATATTATATCTGCCGCTAGTTACTGCGCGAGAAACAATTTTTGCATATTAATTACTTAATTGAGAGTTGGCAAGTTCTGTCAAATGAATTAATTATTGAGGCAAGAAATCACATGACATCAAGCTCATGCTGAGTTGACGCGCGATTTGCGCGCCATAATCAGTGCCAAATGTCTTCGAAGAAGGAAAAACGATCTTTCCCGTTTTCAACGGGTAAAGGTAGGCCAAAGAAGGCGAAAAACACTTTCGACAAAGAGTGGACCGCTAAATTGGCGTAAAGCGACAAAGGGTCGTGTTACAACCAAGAAAAATTGCTCGATGAACTCGACAACGATCGCGATCACGAAGCCAGCGAGCAAGCCGAAATGAGCGCAAGCCGCGCTAAAATACTGTTGCAAGAAACTGCCGAAGCAGAGGAGATTGACGAAGAGAAGTGGACGAAGTTGAAAGGCAGATCGATTGTTTCGGGTGGAAGGCTGCAAGAACGTCTCGGGGATGCGGTTTCATGTCGCTTTTGCCAAGGAGATTAGTTAACCGATACGTAAAATTTGAACGCTAATATAGTAAATCAAACGGATGATTTCACGTTTACTAACCTTGGAATTCTGACTTCACTCATGAAAAAGCGGTTTATTCGTCGCGAGAAATCTGTGCCTGTTCCATGTTAACTGTCACAGTCCTATTGTTATACAGAAAGTTGATTCCTCTGCGGTGTCTCCCTTG